GTCTCGATGTGATGCATATAGAGAAGAATGTTTGTGATGCAATTCTGGGGACAATTATGAACATTCCTGGAAAAACGAAGGATGGCAAGAATGCGCGGTTAGATTTGCAAGAGTGGGGTGTTCGTCCGGAGTTGTGGGTTCAAGATAAGGTAGGGATGGCGAAGGTTAAGGAAAAGGGAAACAAAGATGGTGGTCAAAACCGTAAGGGGAAGTGCAAGGACAAGGCCACGGGTATCGCAAAGAAGAAAGGTGATGGAAAAGGAAAAAACCAAAAGGTGTATATACCTCCAGCTTGCTACACATTATCAAAGGAAGAAAAACGGAGGTTTTGTGCTTGTTTGTATGACATTAAGCTTCCTTCTGGGTTCTCGTCAAACATGAAAAGGTTTGTTTCCTTAAATGGAGAATTGAAGTTGACAAGTATGAAATCCCATGATTGTCACATGATGATGCAAGTTTTCCTACCGATTGCACTTCGTGGAATTTTACCAAAGCATGTGAGAGAAGTTATAACAAGCCTCTGTGGGTTTTTCAATACTATCTGCAGAAAAGTTCTTGATCCCTTTACACTTGATGCTCTCCAGGCGACTGTTGTGGTAACTTTGTGCAAATTTGAGATGTTTTTCCCACCTTCACTTTTTGACATAATGGTGCATTTGATTCTACATTTGGTTCGTGAGATTAAGTTGTGCGGTTCAGTATTTATGAGGTGGTGCTACCCTTTTAAATGACACATGGGTACACTGCAAGATAAAGTAAGAAATCCAGCCCATCCGGAAGGCAGTATGATACAAGGAATTGTGTCCGAGGAGATTGGGAATTTCGTGGCAGAGTATGTTGCCGTTGCCGAACCTATTGGGCTTCCTACATCCCGACATGAAGGGAGACTTGATGGTCATGGCACAATCGGGTCAAAATGGATTTGGTCTGCTCGAGATCAAATCATGCAAGCTCACTTATTTGTGCTTCATCATATTGCGGAGGTTCACCCATATTTAGAAGAGCACATGGATAGTTTGCGTGTTGAATATCCATCAAAAGGGGAAAGAGCACTAATGCAGTTGCATAATAAGATGTTTGTGAAGTGGTTCCATGATCGTGTGATGCGTCAATTGGATGAGACTGTGTCTGATACAATAAAGTGGCTAGCTTATGGTCCAAAGGAAGATGTTCATTCATTTGAGGGATATGATATAAATGGGTACACATTTTGGACTGAAAGTCGGGATCAGAAATCCTCATCGACTCAAAATAGTGGTGTCACTCTTGTGGCTTCATCAAGAGAGTTTGCAAGTGCGAAGGATGCATCACCAGTTGACGCACTTTTATCATACTATGGACGAATTAAGGAAATATGGGAACTAGATTACCGTGACTTCAAGGTTGGTCTATTCAAGTGTAAATGGGTCGATAATAATAGGCGCAACGTGAGAAATGATGACTTCACTCTTGTAGATCTTGGCCACTTGCGGGATAGTCTTGAACCATTCATCCTTGCATCTCAAGCTAAGCAAGTGTTCTATGTAACTGACCCGTCCGATCCAAGATGGTCCATCGCCCTGTCTGGCAAAAGGAGAATTTTAGGGGTTGGAGAGGTTGAGGACGAGGAAGAATATGATGCATTTGATGATTCTCCCCCTTTCACTACTCCTACACTTGATGTAGCAACTGATGTAGATGATGATGCTACTTTTATTCGATCTGACCACAATGAGGGAATACACGAATGAGGTACTTTTATTAATGCATGTTTTATTTACTAAATATCTTATGCTCCAACAACTTTGTTTATTTCGGGAAGTGTTTTATTTTTTTGTATTTTCAATGTATAAGCATGTAATATGAACTAAATATATGAATTGTTTAGAGGATTATATATATGTGAATTTGTTATGAAACCAAAGAAGTTGGGTAAGTGTTTGTCTTTCATCGTGCCTCAGAATTGATTGCCATTACTGATGACTAACAAGATGCTTTGCTTGTTTACTGTAGGTGTGCGCATATCATGGATCCTGATGAGAACCTTCATTCTGATGAGGATATGGATGATGATGATGGTGACGGGTTGTATGATGTTAATAAGGAGACGGATATGGGGGAACCGGAAGACCAAGCTTATGACCAGTTCCAACATAAGCTTGATGAATTTGAGCGTATAGCTGAAACTGCCCCACCTATTGATGATAATGTGGTTACCGAATTTGTAGGTGATTCACATTGTGAAACTCAAATGCAAAGGCAAATGAAAAAAATCGGTGGTGGAGGAGGGGTAAAGCCACCGGTGAACAGAAAGAGTAGGGGTGCAACTAAAGCTTTCAAGAAACCCGGCATTCCTATGGTGCTTGAGTTTGATGAGTTAGGTCAACTTACTGGCCAATGGCGCGACAAATTTTCTAGTCAAGTTGGCATTGTAACTCGTAAAATACCAATCACACTTGAGTTTGCCGAGATACCTCACGGGTTGCTTCAAACATTTTGGGACGATACTATGGTAAGTATTTATTTCAATCAAACTTTTATTTTAAATTCATATATATCAAAAAAAAAATTGCAAAAACAACCCCCGACCTAACCTGAGGGCTGCAGCCGGCAGCTGCCTGGGTGATGCAGCTGCCTGGGCAGCAGCCTGGGCTGCTGCAGCTGCCTCGGCTGCTGCCTTGCCCGATTCTCGAGTTTTTTTTTTTCCATTTTTTTTCTCTTGCCTAACGTGGATGTTTGCGCCAATTACAGAGTATGATCCATATTCCTGATGAGCCGGCCAAGAGAAAAGTCTTTGAAGCTTTTGTACAGGAGAGATTCAAAAACTTCAAGAGTTACTTGAGGACGAGATGGATCCATAAGAGAAGAAAGAGAACACCAAAGAAAAATGTGCCTGCAGATGGAGAAGAAGAGAAACTTGATAAGAAACTGTGGGATTTATATCCACAAATAACGGTGGATGATTGGGAGAAGTTCGTGGAAAAATCTTCCACTAGGGCCGCACTTGTATGTTTTTATTTATCAATAGAGTCGGCTACTCATATTTAGTTTCTTACAATGACTGATGCTAACATATATTTCTGAATGTGTAGTAAAAAAGCGAACAAGCTAGAATCAATGCCGGAAAGAAATTTTATAGCCATCATATGGGTTGTAAGACCTTTGAGGAGTCAAGACCAAAGTGGGTCAAAGCGGGTCTATACCCCAAATCCATAATGTCATCAACTGATAAACCACTTTCTTCCATGGTCACAACTTTGGTTAATCGTGCAATCGACTGGTGGTGTGCTATGCATGGGATGGACAAGGAAACCGGCAAGTATGTCATGCAACCGGATAAGAAAGTAGTAGCAGATGCACTTGTAAGCAAATTTTTCTACTTATTAATTATATTTCCTTGTCAAGTACATTGTACTAAGATCTGATAAATTTTTGTGTTGTTAAAGCTCGAGCATACTTCGGAAGTGATTGAAGGCAAGCTGACTCCAAGCATCGAACATGATCCTTTAACCTTAGCTTTGGGAAAACCATACCACCCTGGGCGAGTAATTGGTTTTGGCGGGAAATAACTAGGGTGGGAGAAGGTGATGGGTTCAGAATACACCAAATCAGCAAAAAGCAGATCAAGTGTTAATTCGCCACATCGGATTGATGAGAAGGAAAAGGAATCAATTAAGGCGGAGATACGCGCGGAGCTGCAAGAACAGATGTAAAGTCAATTCAATGCCATTCTGAAGCACATGAACTTGCCGCCTTTGCCATTTCCCACGAGTACCCCATTAGACTCATGTAGTCACCCAGGAGGCCCCGAGGACGATCCAGTAGTTGAGAGAGAGGTAATTTTAGTACAAGGACGAATTACGTCATATGAAGTTCGTCTAATGAGGTCGTTTGCATGTTTAATTATTTTACTTTTGCAGGATCCAAGTACTATGGATGCAGAGTCACTGAAGAGAGCAAATCCGATGCCTGAACCTTTCCCAGATGTTAAGGTGAACTTCACTACGTAATCAGCTTTTCTTATGTTAGGCTTTCGTTTATTATTTCTTAACTTATGTCCTAACTCCTAACCAAATATGTAGGAAGAGAAGCCTTGTGAGCTTCTTCACCCCGGGGAAACAACTGGTGGAAAGTTGCAGTTGGTGGGGTATGGTAGTGCACAACCTTTTGACAAGGTGCATTTTAAGTCTAATACTAGCACCCATTACATCTCGGTCGGGATCGATTCTATAGTTGCTGGGTTTGAGGACTTACCACTACCGGTGCCTAGAGAGGAATATGATTTTTTAAGCTGCGTGACGCGACCGGGAGCTTTGTGCAATGGCCACGTGATCGGTTGAGGTTGGTAGGAGGGGTAAGTAAACAATACTTGTATGTAACTACTTGTATGTAACTAGATTAACATGTGATTTGTGCAATGACCATGTTTTTTTATGCTACTAGATTACTATGGAAATTCATTCCGCTAAAAGGAAGAAGGTGGAGAAGCAAAAATCCAAGGAAGAAGGTCCTCCGAAGATGGAACAAGGATATGTGTCGAAGAAGAGTTCGAGAGCTTCATGTACTCCACTAGTAGAAGCCAAAGTCCTTAGGTCGCTTTCGAAACCGTGTACTTTTCTTCACAACCGTGTTAGTGATTTGCCTACGGGTACACATATTCAAGTGAACTTGCCTAAGGCATTGTTCCACTATGATGAGGATTCGATCGCATACATTTCTAGAGAGGATGTGACGGAATTTATAACCGGTTCCATGCTTAACATTTCCATCATTCAAACATTCATGAGGTAAATTAACGAGACTATTTCTAAACATATTGTATTTTTGATATTTTCGTACCAAAACTATGCAACTAGTAATTACTTGCACACATTACTTTCTTGAAGGTCACTACAGGAGCTCCTTGCTAGTAAACCCGATGGTGAAGCAGCAGTTGGGTGGTTATGCCCCAAGCAGACCTCCGTAACCAAATGCTTGCATAACCCTCATGATGTGATAGATTACCTTGAGCGGGGCATTATAGAATCAATGCGTGCGGGAAACAAGTTCTTATTAGCCCCTTGTTTTGAGGAGTAAGTTTAAATATGTCATTCTTAATTTGTTTGTTAAGTATAGATGTTGACGCATAACAATTGATGGATTGATATTTGCTTTAATATACATGTAGTCTACATTGGAGCCTTATGGTGATTTGTGTTTCCAATAACACAATCTACTACTTTGACTCGGCTCGTATATGGCCACCAAGGAAGTTGCTAGTGAATAACCTATTGAATAGGTATATACCGCTTTATATATTTTGTTTTGTATCATCACCTAAGTGATTGAGTGGCTATGTTTCTAAATCGTTTGTTTTTTATTTTTTTGAAGTGTTATGAAGAAGTTAAATTGTCGTTCGGTTGCGGGTCCCACGTGGAAATATGCGAAGGTAAAGCCTTGATATATTGATTTATTTAATAAAATTGCCTTGAGTTTTATCACATCATGACTATTTTAACTTTGTGTCATTTTAGTGTGCGCAACAAGACAACGGCGTTGACTGTGCCCTATACGTGATGAGGTTTATGCATGACATAGTCAATAGGTGCACTAAAGCCCAACACATTGAGGAGGTACTTGTTTTTACTTTTTTCCGATTCGATTTCGGGTAAAAGTCGTCCTAAAACTAAGTATAATGATAATTTTCTATGATTCCAAACATTAGACACCTAAGACAAGTTGTAATTGACATGTTATGATAAAGAAATAGCTCATTAGATAAGAAATGTAGAAATCGGGCAACGTAGTAGTGAAATAGGCAATTTCGGGTAAAAGCCGTCCTAAAACTTAGTATAATGGTAATTTGCAATGATTTCAAACATTATACACGTAATACTAGTTATAATTGACATGTTATGATAAAGAAATTGCTCATTAGATAAGAAATGTAGAAATCGGGCAAAGTAGTAGTGAAATAGGCGATTTCGGGTAAAAGCCGTCCTAAAACTTAGTAGAATGCTAATTTTCTGTGATTTCAAACATTAGACTAGTTATAATTGACATGTTATGATAAAGAAATTGCTCATTAGATAAGAAATGTAGAAATCGGGCAAGTTAGAAGTCAAATCGGCGATTTTTGGTAAAAGCCGTCCTAAAACTTAGAAGAATGCTAATTTGCTATGATTTCAAACATTAGACACCTAATACTAGTTTTAATTGACATGTTATGATAGATAAATAGCTCATTAGATAAGAAATGTAGAAAACGGGCAAAGTAGTAGTGAATAGGCGATTTTTGGTAAAAGCCGTCCTAAAAATTAGAAAAATGCTAATTTGCTATGATTTCAAACATTAGACACCTAAGACTAGTTATAATTGACATGTTATGATAAAGAAATTTCTCATTAGATAAGAAATGTAGAAATCGGGCAAGTTAGAAGTCAAATAGGCGATTTTTGGTAAAAGCCGTCCTAAAACATAGTTCGTTGAATGCTAAAGGGCAAGTTAGAATGATGTTTGAAATATTTAACATATATATATTATTATTTTTTAATTATTAGTTTGAATTTTATGTAATATATGAATGATGTTTAATGTTTGGTATTTTTTTCTTTTCAAAGGTTTGTAAGATTCAAAGGGAAGGCCCTTTGACAAAGGAAGAAGTTGATGAAATTCGCGACATGTGGGCTTTTTTTGTGACATTTGATGGCATCTAGGTAGAATATATAATATATATTTGTTAGTTAGATAATGAATTTGATTGAGTTTTTATTTTTAGTATGTAGTAAATCCATATGTACATTATATTACTTATTTGTAATTAGTACTATACATTATTTATGAGTTTTATATATGTTATTATTATTATGCATTTTATTGTTATTGAATTATTATTATTCCAAAATTTGTAATATTTTTAATTAATTATTATTAATTATTAATATTAATTAATAATATTAATTGATAATAATATTAATAATAATAATAATTTTTAAGAAACTGGATTAATGTGCATATCAAAACAGGTCACTAATAATATTATTATTATTAATTATTATATATATTTAAAATAAAAAAAATAAAAAAAAAATATAAATGGGAAGCGGTTTGGCGCCAAAACCGCTTGCCATTTGCACTGCAGATAATCTAATGTGAAGTGCAAATGGCAAGCGGTTTTGGCGCCAAACCGCTTGCCATTCCCCCCAAATGGGAAGCGGTTTTGAACCTCTTGCCATTTACATGGCATTTGGGAAGCCCCCTAAACCCATGCGGTTCAAAACCGCTTCCCATTTGGGGTTTTGAACCGCTTCCCATAATGTTTTTTCTACTAATGATGGCGAAGCATGCATTTGGGGGACAAAGTCTCTTCTTTTGGGTGGACTTAAATGGAGAATGGCAATGGTACGAGCATAAGGGTTTTGAATGAGGCATGGTTGCTAGGTGCAAGTTCGTCTATTGTTCCTACACCTAATTTAAATGCTGATCCTGAATTTATGGTTTCAGATCTTCTTGATTATGAGCAGGGGGCTGGAATGAAGAGGTGGTGAGGAACACTTTTGTGGTGGAGGAGTGAAACTTAATTTTTGGCATACCTATTTAACCACACTGGCGTAAAGATAGACAATATTGGTGGCCTGCAAAAAATGGATGCTTATAGGCTATTGGCTTACTAGGCTTGGAAGGGTACGCTTGTGGGTAATGCTACAAGGTGTTCAGGAAGAGGGTATCTGGAAACTGGTGTGGGATATTGAGGGGCCTCCTAATCTTCATCACTTTATCTCAAGAGCATGCAAGGGAAGCCTTGCTTTCAAGGAAAGACTGCATTACAGGCATATTGCAGCTAACATTTTGTGCCAAGGTTGTGGAGGAGCTGCTGAGATAGTGATACATGCACTTTTTTAGTGCATTGATGCTGCTAAAATTTGGTCTTTGAGAAAATACAATGACTTACTGTAAGACGACGCTCCTACTCTATCTTTTAATAATCGCTTATGTTGGATTGTTGATCATATTGAAAGGAAGGAGTTTAGTCACTTTTGTATGCTTGTTTGGGCTGCGTGGTTGTGCAGGAATGCTAAGACCCATCAAGAACCTATCGATGATCCTATACAGGTTGCTGCAGGTTATGCAAAGATGATGTGAGATTATATGGAGTATTTTGGACCCGTCTTTTAGCCAATATCAACTGCTTGTGGGATGGGGAGTGAATGTTGGAATCCTTCAGTGGCTGGGCACATCAAAGTACATTTTGATGCACATACATCAGCTAAAAGATGGGTTGGTTTGGGTGTGGTTTTGAGGACAATGCTAACAGGATTGTTGCTGCTACATCGAAGAGAATTCAAGCCAGGTTCGAGGTGGAAATGGCTGAAGTTGCTGCTGCAAGGTTTGGTTTCAAGTGGCTAGGCAGTTGGGCTATATGCACATAGAGCGAGTTAAAGTGTGATGCATATTTAGTGGCTCGAAAGATCATCCAAGATGCAATGAGCTATTCTCCTTTGATGCTCTTTTACAAGGATATTAAGACAATGAAAGATAGTTTTTGTTTTTTTAGTAGTAATCATGTTCGTTAGGCGGGTAGTAGCGCAGTACTATTACATATCTAGTGGCAAGATATAGTACTAGAGAGTCGACTTTTGTATGGTTGGACAATTTTTCGGTGAAACTTGATTTAATCATATAACTAAAATATAAAGCTAAACTTTTAGCCAGGTCACGAGATTGCGACACTTGGCATTGCAACTTTTCGCCAAGTGTCGAGCCACATTGGATCGATTTAAATAGACGAGAAAAAAGTTAGTTTAGAATTCTATTTGGATAGACTATTAGGATAAAATTGTTAGTTTAGAGTTTTATTATCGATAACATACTGTAGGGAATATTTCAAGCATTACCCCAAACTTGAACTGTGATCATACACTTAAGCATGATGGCGACCAAAGGGAAAGAAACAAGAACAAAAGAGTCGCCAACAAGTTTTAGAAACTTGTAAACCGTTCACAGGGTGAAGGTTACACCCTTAACGATCCAAGAGATCGTTAACTCCAATAGAACTGGAACCAAGATTGGAAGTTCGGGGATGAAGGTACAAATCCAATCTAAAAGAGAAAGAACCTGCCCTAATAATAGGCCTCTACTTTATTCTTTTCGTATTCATGTGCACTTTTTGACTAACATGCAATTAGTAGATTAACCCTAAACCTGTTTAGTCTATGTTGGTTGAATATTAATGCACAAATAATTCTATTATTGGTGATCACTTGAATTATAATCAAATTAACCCTAAACAAGATTATTAATTATCTTATTAAGCGTGATTACAAATACAAATTCCCTTTAAACATGCATAAAAGGCGTGATCAAACAATAACAATAAATATCTCAAGCAACATAATAATAATATTCAAAATAATAATAATCATAATTAAAATCATCATGTTCATGTTAAAAATAAAGCATAATAATAGCAAGATCCTAGGCATGATACTAACAAGATTAATAACAAACTCTAGCACGTCACTAAATAATAAAGATCAAATCTTTAGCCCTAACATGATATTAGGAAAGATAATAGGAAGAATCATAGAAATCATAATTGATATCAGAAACTTATTCTTTACCCTAAACATGATACTAAGAAAAGCATCCTAACATAATACTAGGAAAAGCTTCCTAACATGATATTAGGAATCAAAATAACAACCTAAACATGATTTCTATATCATAATATCAATTAAACAATTAAAGCACTTACTTGGATGCCTTATACCTCTTTCTAATAACAAAATACACGCTTAGTAACATCAAGGAAAATATTAAAATTAAATAATCAAATTAAATAATTAAAATAGAGATTTGGGTCCAAACCCTCAGAAATATCAAACCTTTCATGTCTAAGGCGAAGGAAACTTCGAACTTGGCTAGGTGTGTCTAGTGCTAATGTATGAGGAATTGTGTTTATAAAAGGCTAGGTGTAGGGAATATTTCAAGCATTATCCCTAGCTTGAACCCCACTGTGATCATACACTAAAGTACGGTGGCGTCCAAAGGGAAAGAAGATAGAGCAAAAGAGTCACCAACAAGTTTTAGGAACTTGTAAACCGTTCACAGGGTGAAGGTTACACCCCTTAACGATCCAGGAGATCGTCAACTCCAATAGGTCTTGAACCATGACTGGTAGATCGGGGATGAAGGTACAAATCCAACCTAAAAGAGATTGAACCTGCCCTAATAATAGGCCTCTACTTTATTCTGATCGTATTCATGTGCGCTTTCTGACTAACATGCAATCAATAGGTTTAACCCTAAACCTGTTTAATCTATGTTGGTTGAATATTAATGCACATATAAACTATTATTGGCGATCACTTGAATTATAATCAAATTAACCTAAATAAGATTATTAATTATCTTATATAAGCGTGATTACAAGTACCAATTCCCTTTAAACATACATAAAAGGTGTGACCAAGCAATACCAATAAATATAATCAAGCAACATAATAATAATAATCATCATGATAATCACAACCAAAATAATCATAATAATAATTATAATCAATAATCATGTTAAAGCATAATAGCAAGATCCTAGGCATGATACTAACAAGATTAATAACAAACCCTAGCATGTCACTAAATAATAAAAATTAAAGCTTTAGCCCTAACATGATACTAACATGAATAAATATTAGGAAGAACATAAAAGGCATCATACTTTTAATCATACTTGATA